GCCATGGGTATATGTGGAATTACTCCCCAAAATACATTCTGCTACTGCTCCCGAGTATGGGGATACCATATGTGAGAGACTTTCTGGCAGACTAGCCAAGTACAGGACCCCAAACTCCAATAAGCACCTTCAGGCTTTTAAAGCACTTTATTTCCTTATTACACTTCCTGACTTCCAATGACCACTTTGAAAGCCTGAAGGTGCGTAACTTCCTCACTACCTATCATAGTTTCTGAGGCCCTGAAATGCCAGGATAACTCCCCCCAGGACCCCTTTTTGGAAAGTAGACATCTGAGTAAATTGATAAGAATTATGGTGAGTATTTTTCAGTTCTCATTTGCTGCCACAAGTTTTGGAAAATGAAGAAAGAACACAAAATTTTTTTTCGCTTTTTTTTATATTTCAAAACCTTGTGAGAAAAAAATGAGATCTGCAAAACACTCACTATGCCTCTTTTTAAATTCCTTGAGATGTCTACTTTCCAAAAAGGGGTCTTTGGGGGGGGGGGGTTTGGTGCTATCCTGGCATTTCAGGGCCTCCGAAACTGTGATGGGTAATGAGGAAGTTACGCATTTTCAGGCTTTCAAAGTGGTCATTGGATTTCAGGCTCCTGTATGTGGCTAGACTCTCAAAAAGTCTCACACATGTGGTATCCCCATACTCATTAGAAGTAGCAGAATGTATTTTGGGGTGTAATTCCACATATACCCATTGCTTGTCTGAGAAAATATATCATTTAAGTGACAACTTTGTGTAAAAGAAAAATGTCATTTTCCAAAAACTTGTAGTAAAAAAAATAAATTTTTCTATTTGACTCAACATGCCTCTCAGAAAATAGTTTGGGGTGTCTACTTTCCACAAAGCGGTCATTTGGGGGTGTTTGTACTGTCCTAGTATTTTAGCAACTCAAGAAATGTGATGGGCAGTCAAAAGCTGTGTAAATACCATTATCTATACCATAATTTGTAGATGCTATAACTTTCACGAAAAGCAATCAATATACACTTATTGTAGCAGAATACATTTTGGCCTAAATTTATGAATAAATTTGAGTTTTTTTGGATTTGTTTTTTTTTTTTTGACATATGAGAAAATATCGTTTTTTAAAAATTTACGGTCTTTTTTGTTTATAGCACGAAAAATAAAAAGTGTAAAGGTGATCAAATACCACCGAAAGAAAGCTCTATTGGTGTGAAAAAAAAGGACATAAATTGAACAGTATTGCATGACCGCACAATTGTCCGTTAAACTAGTGCAGTGCTGTATAACAAAAAGTGGCGTAAATTGCAGTATCTATACCATAGTTTGTAGACGCTATAACTTTCACACAAAGCAATCAATGTACACTTTTTGGGATTTTTTTTACCCAAGACCTGTAACAGAATACATTTTGGCCTAAATTTATGAACTTTGAGTGTACTATATATTTTTTTATAACCGAAAATAAAAAATATAGTTTTTCAAAATTTTTGGTCTTTTTTTTGTTTATAGTGCAAAAAATAAAAAGCGCACATGTGATCAAATACCACCGAAAGGAAGCTCTATTTGTGTGAAAGAAAGGACATAAATTTTGTTTGGGTACCACGTTGCATGACATTGTAATTGTCAGTTAAACTAACGCAGCATTGTATAGCAAACCATTACATAAATTGCAGTATCTATGCCAGCAATGGGCAAACTACGGCCCGCGGGCCGTATACGGCCCTGGGGGACCTTTTCATCCGGCCCGCGGAGCTAGGCTCCTCTCACAGTCCGCCCTGAAGACCGGTGTAGCAAAATCTGTCTCCTATGAGGATCTGTCCCCCTCGACGTATCTGCGCATGTGCCGGAGATCGCCGATCGGCTGCTAATGCCTGAAACTGGCACATGCGCAGATACGTCGAGGGGGACAGATCCTCATAGGAGACAGATTTTCATGCTACACCGGAACGGCGCGGGACACGGCGAGAGGAACGCGCGGATCAAAGGTAAGTGAATTGACACAGGGGGGACTTGGGGACTTAATATGGGGAATGAATTACTATAGGGGGGATGAATTACTATAGGGGGGATGAATTACTATAGGGGGGATGAATTACTATGGGGGATGAATTACTATAGGGGGGATGTATTACTATGAGGGATGAATTACTATGGGGATGAATTACTATAGGGGGGATGAATTACTATATGGGATGCTTACTATGGGGGATGAATTATATTACTATTACTATACTTACTATGGATGACACATACACATCAGTCATTTACTCTTGGTCCGGCCCCCGGGTCCAATATATGAACCCATTGCGGCCCTCAAGTCAAAAAGTTTGCCCACCCTGATCTATGCCATAGTTTGTAGATGCTATAACTTTCACACAAAGCAATCAATAAATAGTGCATGCAAAAAGTATTCACAACGCTTAACTTTTGCCACATTTTGTTATGTTACAGCCTTATTCCAAACTGGATTAAATTCATTTTTTTTCCCTCAATATTCTACAAACAGTACCCCATAATGACGTGAAAGAAGTTAGTTTTGAAATCTTTGCATTTTATCAAAAATTAAAAAACAAAAAACACATGTGCATAAGTATTCACAGCCTTTGCCATGACACTCAAAAATGAGCTCTGGTGCATCCTGTTCCCACTGATCATCTTTGAGATGTTTCCACAACTTGATTGGAGTCCACCTGTGGGAAATTCAGTTGATTGGACATTATTAGGAAAGGCATAAACCTGTCTATATAAGGTCCCACAGTTAACAGTGCATGTCAGAGCACAAACCAAGCCATGAAGTCCAAGGAATTGTCCGTAGACCTCCAAGACAGGATTGTATCAAGGCACAGATCTGGGAAAGGGTACAGAAAAATTTCTGCAGTATTGAAATTCCCAATGAGCACAGTGGCCTCCATCATCCGTAAATGGAAGAAGTTTGGAACCACCCTGAATCTTCCTAGAGTGGGCTGCCCGGCCAAAATGAGTGATTGAGGCAGAAAGGCCTTAACCAGGGAGGTAACCAAGCTCCCAGTGGCCACTCTGAAAGAGCTCCAGTGTTTCTCTGTGAAGAGAGGAGAACCTTCCAGAAGAACAACCATCTCTGCAGCACTCCACCAATCAGGCCTGTATGGTAGTGTGGCCAGACGGAAGCCACTCCTCAGTAAAAGGCAAATAGCAGCCCACCTGGAGTTTGCCAAAAGGCACCTGAGGGACTCTCAGACCATGAGAAACAAAACTCTCTGGTCTGATGAAACAAAGATTGAACTCTGGCCTGAATGCCAAGTGTCGTGTCTGGAGGAAACTGGGCACCACTCACTACCTGGCCAATACTATCCCTACGGTGAAGCATGGTGGTGGCAGCATCATGCTGTGGGGATGTTTTTCAGCAACAGGAACTGGGAGACTAGTCAGGATCGAAGTAAGATGAATAGAGCAATGTACAGAGACATCCTTGATGAACACATGTTCCAGAGCGCTCAGGACCTTAGACTGGGGCGACAGTTCATCTTTCAACAGGACAATGACCCTAAGCACACAGCCCACATAACAAAGGAGTGGCTACCGACCAACTCTGTGAATGTCCTGGAGTGACCCAGCCAGAACCCAGACTTGAACCCGATTGAACATCTCTGGAGAGATCTGAAAATGGCTGTACACCAACACTCCCCATCCAACCTGATGGAGCTTGACAGGTACTGCAAAGAAGAATGGGAGAATTGCCCAAAAATAGGTGTGCGAAGCTTGTAGCATCATACTCAAAATGACTTGAGGCTGTAATTGGTGCTAAAGGTGCTTCAACAAAGTATTGAGCAAAAGCTGTGAATACTTATGTTTTTTTGTTTTTTATTTTTAAGAAATAGCAAAGATTTCAAAACAAACTTCTTTCACGTTGTCGTTATGGGGTATTGTTTGTAGAATGTTGAGGAAAAAAATTAATTTAATCCATTTTGGAATAAGGCTGTAACATAACAAAATGTGGCAAATGTTAAGCGTGGTAAATACTTTCTGGATGCACTGTACACTTATTGGGATTTTTTTTTTTTTTTACCAAAAACATGTAGCAGAATACATTTTGGCCTAAATTTTTGACTAACTTTGGGTTTACTATATATTTTTTATAGTAAAAAATAAATAATTTTTTCCCAAAATTTTCAGTCTTTTTTTGTTTATAGCGCAAAAAATAAAAAGCGCACAGGTGATCAAATACCACTGAAAGAAAGTTCTATTTGTGTGAAAAAAAGGACATACATTTTGTTTGGGTACAGCATAGCATGACCACACAATTACCAGTTGAAATAGTGCAGCGCCAAATACCAAAAAAAAGGCCTGGTCAAGAAGGGGGGTAAATCCTCAGTAGGACAAGTGGTTAAGATCTTCATCTAGAAAACCACATTGTTTTTTAATACATAATCCTCTTGGAGTGATTCCTCATTCTAAATACTTTTTCAAAAAGGACAAATCCCATCACTGGACATTCTCATATTGTTAGGCTTTCTTGCAATTTCAATATGCCATTCTCATGTTCGTTTCATAAGTCTCGCTATGAGGAGGTTTTTTTTTATGTCCATCCGCAAACACTGTAAATTATCTTCTGGGATTGTGTGTGTTAATATTATCAAACTTCTCAAAAAATTGACCTTAACCTATTGGATCTATCCTGAATCATATTGATCCAATATGATTGAGAGAGAGAAAAAAAAAGGATAGTATATGTATCTAGAATTTACAACACTATAAATTAAACAGTACAGTACAAACCCTGTCAATCAATGTGGTCACAATGCTATGTGTTTAACCGCCTCCCGCCCGCGCTGGGAGGACGTAATATGACGTCCTCCTATTCTAAACCTACTCGTGCTGGGAGGACGTAATATGACATCCTCCCATTCTAACCGCGCATGCGCGGCTCCGGAGCGCGCAGCGCGGCGGTGTGCTGTGTCCCTCGGACACAGCGGATCACCAATCCACGGAAAGAGCCAAAGATGTCAGCTCGGTCATGTGATCAGCTGTGTCCAATCACAGCTGATCACATGTAAACAGGGAATTGCCGGTTATCGGCATTTCTCTCCCCACGAACTGTCATGCTGATAGCTCGTGAGGAGAGGAGAGGCGGTAATTGGCATTTCTCGGAGGAGACATGTACACAGATCATCAGAGCACTGATGATCAGTGTGCCCTGATGATCTGTGTGCATTTCTCGGAGGAGACATGTACACAGATCATCAGAGCACTGATGATCAGTGTGCCCTGATGATCTGTGTAGCCCCAGCAGCGCCACCTGTCAGTGTCCATCAGTGCCAGCTCTCAGTGCTCATTCATGCCACCTGCCAGTGCCCATCAGTGCCTCATTTCAGTGCCCATCTGAGCTGCCTTTCAGTGTCACCCATCAGTGCCAGTTAGTGCACCTATCAATGCCAGTCAGTGCCACCTATCAGTGCCGCCTATTAGTGCCAGTCAGTGCCACCTATCAGTGTGCATCAGTGCCGCCTATTAGTGCCCGTCAGCACTCATATATGGCACTGATGGGCATTGACAGGCATCACTGATTGGCACTGAAAGGCAGCAGTCATATATGGCACGGATAGGCGGCACTGCCTTTCAGTGCCCATCAGTGATGCCTGTCAATGCCCATCAGTGCCTCCTCATCAGTGCCCATCATTGCAGCCTCTTTAGCGCACATCAGTGAAGGAGAAAAATCACTTATTTTACAACATTTTATAACCAATACTAAGAAAAAACGTTTTTTTTTTTTCAAAATTTTCAGCGTTTTTTGGTTTGTTTAAGAAAAAATAACCACCAAAATAAAGCTCTGTCACAAAAAAAATGAAAAAAATTTCATATGGGTACAGTGTTGTATGACCGCGCAACTGTCATTCAAAGTGCAACAGTGTTGAAAGCTGGAAATTGGCCTGGGCAGGAAGGGGGTATAAGTGCCCTGTAGGCTAGTGGTTAAACCACCCCCTATAAATAGATGTATGTGCAATCTTATCAGTAGCATATGTATGGTTGCAACATAATCTATAAAAAACAATAAAAAACAATATAACAAGTCCCACATAGACAATTTGGGAATATTATTGCTTAATGTCTATTGAACTTCATATCACATATAGGTGACTTCCTTGTATGGCACATGGGACCCTTCCACTTCAATAAAAAATGAAGGTGGTGTACTGTATCTTTAAACCTATTATTGTCCATATCACATGTAGGACACTAACCTCTCAATACAACTGTGATGTTTAAAATAGTCCTATAGTAAGTACATATCTCTTAATCCAAGTACACCAGATGGCTCTGAAAACATTGGTTGAGGACGCATCGAGGGATGGGGTGCTGCATACGAGGGAGAAGCATTATTTGCTCCCTTCTGTGTGCAGCACTCCCTACTACTATCATCTCCATAAAGTCCATAAATCATTAGAACATCCCCGGGGAGACTCATAGTAGCCAGCACCAATAGTTTGATTAGTAGCCTATCGATTATATATTGATTTCTTTTTCCACACGATGGTTTGTCAACTTCCATCATACATTAGAGACTCAGGTCATGTTATCAAGGTTTTAAAACAATACACTTGGGAACATGGATATAATTGGGCATCCTTGGATGTGTCCTCATTACATAATTATATCCCTCATTGAGTTGGTTGATCAGCTTTACAGCGTTCTTTATTTATAAATCTTAATATGAATTCAAGGTAGGCTCAATTTTTAGTGGACAGAGTTTTGCTTGAAACATAATTATTTCACTTTTTTAGATCAATTTTATTTGCAGACCAATGGGACAGCAATGGGTGCCAATTTTGCCCCTGGATATGCCAATTTGGCAATAGGTTTTTGGGAGGAATAATACGTTTGGGCCAACAATCCCTTTGCTAGATATATCGTCATTTATGGACGATATGTCGATGACATCCTTATTATCTGGGATGATGGCCCTGACGTGTTTTTGGCCTTTGTAGCCCATTGCAATTCCAATTCTATAAGCTTTAATTTTACTCATGTTTTTGACCCAGATATCATTGTCTTTATGAATCTTGTATTATCTCATGAAGATAAGGTTATATGTACCAGCAACCACACCAAACCAGTAGGGGGCAATTATTACCTCCATTACTCCAGTTGCCATCATCCGGCTTGGAGAAAGAATATCCCCAGTGGACAATTCAACAGACTTAGGAGAAATTGTGCAAAACTCGAGGTGTATAAAGAACAAGGGGAAATATCATCATCCAAATTTATAGGAAAAGGGTGCCTTCATCCTTGGTACAGGAAGCTTTTGTTAAACATCAAAATCCTCAGGTTAACACCAAAAATACTTCTAGTAATCAGAATTTTAACGTGGTAAGATTTTATTGCGGGATATAACACATACCGTAAGATCTCTAACATCCGTCCGTAAACATTGGGACATTTTCCAGATAGATCCTAAGTTGCCTCCAGCTCCCCAGGTAACTTTTAGAAGGGCACGTACGTTAAAAAATATTTTGGCTCCTTGCAAATTGCTAGGACGAAATAATGAAGAATATGGACATTCCGACCTATTTTGATCACAGGACTGGAGTTTTCCAGTGTAGAAAAAGATGTTTGACTTGTCAATTTATTAAACATGGACGCTTCAAAATAATAGACAACAAAGGTAATTGTTTTCACATAAAACAATTTATAACGTGCTACAGATTTTGTAATATATGTACTACTGTGTTCATGCAATCTGTTGTATGTGGGCCATACTCTACGCCCTTTACGAAAACGTATTGGTAAACATCGTAGGCTTATAAAAGATGGATGTGATCAACATAGTGTCCCTCAGCATTTCCTTCAAGCCCATGGCATAAACTTTGCTTGTGTGGAGGTCATGGCCATTGAGCATATTGAGAATAGGTCATGGACATACAATGAAAGGTTCTCCCTCTTATGCAAGAGGGAGACCTCTTTGGATATTTAAATTGGGGTCCATGTCCCCAAATGGTCTTAATGAAGATCTTCAGATCCTTAGTATTATCTGAATAATTTAATATTGGCGTAATCTATCATTAACTATAATTGTAATAATGTACTTAAACTAAAAAAAACCCAAAACAATATAATTGCATATATATATATATATATATATATATGTGTGTATGTGTGTATATGTGTGTGTGTATATATACAGTTGTGGCCAAAATTATTCAACCCCCAATGCTGTAAAGGGGTTTAGGGACTATAGTGTACATTTGGAATTGTATTCAGAATCAAATCCTACAAGGACGTTGTAACTACCCAAATGCAACTAAAATGACATCAATTGTTTATGTAATACAGTAGTAAATGGTTCTTATGTGGTTTCTTCATTGCCACAATTATTCAACCCCTTAAAGACTACCACTCTGAAGAACAGAGGTTCATACAGGTGCTTTCCATCAGGTATTGAAAACACCTGTGGATGTCACCGAGCAGCAATCAAGCATAATAAGCACCAATTAGGCAGCTTTAAAATGACTGTGATACTCAGCTCCTTCTAGACATTTACTGGTGTGGTTACAAACATGGTGAAGGCAAGAGAATGGTCCAGGAAGACAAGAGAAGAGGTGATTTCTCTTCACAGGAAGGGCAATGGCTATAAGAAGATTGCAAAGATGTTAAACATACCAAGAGACACCTTAGGAAGCATCATTCGCAAATTCAAGGCAAAGGGCACTGTTGAAACGCTACCTGGTCGTGGCAGAAAGAAGATGCTGACTTCGACTGCTGTGCGCTACCTGAAGCGTAGAGTGGAGAGAAGTCCCCGTGTGACTGCTGAGGAACTGAGAAAAGATTTGTCAGATGTGGGTACAGAAGTTTCAGCCCAGACAATAAGACGCACACTGCGTAATGAAGGCCTCCGTGCCAGAACTCCCAGGCGTACCCCCTTGCTGTCTCCAAAGAATAAGAAGAGTCGACTGCAGTATGCCAAAAGCCATGTGGACAAACCACAAAAGTTGTGGGATAGTGTTCTGTGGACTGATGAAACAAAATTAGAACTGTTTGGGCCCATGGATCAACGCTATGTTTTGGAGGAGGAAGAACAAGGCCTATGATGAAAAGAACACCTTGCCTACTGTGAAGCATGGTGGAGGGTCAATCATGCTTTGGGGCTGTTTTGCTTCTGCAGGTACAGGGAAGCTTCAGCGTGTGCAAGGTACCATGAATTCTCTTCAGTACCAGGAGATATTGGATGGAAACGTGATGCAGTCCGTCACACACACCTGAGGCTTGGGAGACGTTGGACCTTTCAACAGGACAATGATCCCAAGCATACCTCCAAGTCCACTAGAGCATGGTTGCAGAGGAAAGGCTGGAACATTTTGGAGTGGCCATCGCAGTCACCAGACTTAAATCCGATTGAGAACCTCTGGTGGGACTTAAAGAAATATTGCAGTGCGCAAGCCTAAGAATGTGACTGAACTGGAGGCCTTTGCCCATGAAGAATGGGCGAAGATACCCGTAGATCGCTGCAAGACACTTGTGTCAAGCTATGCTTCACGTTTAAAAGCTGTTATAACTGTAAAAGGATGCTGTACTAAGTACTAAGATTGAATGTCACTTGGGGGTTGAATAAAACTGATAATGCTGTGAGCACAGAAAAGACATTTGTGGTTATTTCATTATAACTGTTATGTTATATTTGTCTGACCTACAAGTGCCTCTTTAATGTAAATGTAAGCAAGATGACTGAATGATCAAAAGCAATGTCAAACTGGCCAAAACACTCAATTTCAGTGGGGGTTGAATAATTTTGGCCACAACTGTATATATATATATATATATATATATATATATATATATATATTTTTTTTTATCATATATGACTGCGTATGAACCAATTGTTCTAAGTTTGTTTTTTAATGTATTTTTATTGCATTTAGAGTGGGTTCTATTATAAAGGCAATGGTGGAATATTAGGTCCATGCTCCACCCTCTGTTTGCGCCTGGCCACTAGATTAGCTTCTTATGTAAGATCGCTAGTTTCCACTGTTATTCATGACTTGATAAAGTGCATACACGCAGAACGTGTTGTCGTGGCAACCCGCTTAGATTGCAGATGGTTTAGCTGCCCATTCGTCTTGGCAAAATGCCTCCAAGTCATGCAAAGACTTTGGTCATCTTGCATGAACAGCATGTTTTGAGATCTCCCCAGAGTGGCTTGATGGTATTAAGGTCAGGAGACTGTGATGGCTACTCTAGAACCTTAACCTTTTTATCTTCTGTAACGACTGACCGTATGGCTCAATCACTTGGCAGTATAGTTCAATCACTTATTGAGAAGTGGAAAATTTGGGGATCTCTTTTGACAGTTCTTTTCTGTTCCCAATGGCTCAGTATATAGCTTGCTCAGTTCATCCACGTGAGAGCTAACGGACACATTGACTAGTTATGTTAGGTGAATAAAGAACCTGGACCAGATGGCATACACACTCACGGGTCCTTAAAGAATTGAGCTCTGTCATTTCAAAGCCATTGTTTCTAATATTTAGGGACTCTTT